TTTGAAGGCGTTTATGGTTTTGCTATCTATGTATCCTTATCATTCTGTCTTATGGGTGCTGTATGATGTATGTTCAGTTTTGAGAAGAGCGAAACCAACACTTTCAAGTAAAAGAAGACCAATAAAGTTAAATAATGTTTGCTTTGGATAGTGCGTGCGCCATAATGGCGGATAGCCGGAAATTTTTCGGCTCGCAAAAAATGTTAATTTTTCTCTTTATATACATACTGTGTTGTGGTCTACTTCATAAAATAATCAAGAGTACACCAACTGTTTCAATGTGGCAGGAATTTTACGTGTGTTCGGAAGTTGTGAAAGTCAAAATCATCATCAATGGTGTCAAACGTCGACGTAAAGTTCAAAAACGACTGTTAGCGAACTCTTCTACTCTACGCTTTGTATACACTGTTTCTCATCAAACTTTCTGGCGACGTTGAAATAAATCCTGGTCCTGGAAGTAATGGAAACTGGGCTTTGCATGATAAACAATATGTAAAATGCCTTGCCCTTAACGCACGGAGCTTGACAAGCGTAACAAATTCAAATTCAACTGACGGCGTAGAAAGTCTACATAACCTTGAATGTTTTCAAAACCTTGAATGTTTTCAAAACCTTGTCTATACCGAGGACATTGATATCGTTTTTGCTAACGAGACTTGGCTTTCAAACATTATAAAAAACATTGAAATTTTACATTCTGCATTTACCATTGTCAGAAAAGATCGGGAAGCTCGTGGAGGAGGAGTTTTATTGGGAATTAAAACAGAATTATTTCAATCAATACGTGAAATTGAACACAGTTATAGTTTAGAGATTGCTATGGCTGAATTAACAACATTATCGGACACAAATATACTAATTTGCTCTCGTTATCGTCCACCAAACGCGGATAAAATCTGGATGGAATCTTTTGAAAATTTTCTTAACGATGTTCGCTCACGCTATCCAAAAATTGTTCTCGCTGGTGATTTCAACTTACCGCACGCGTGCTGGAACTCGAAGGAGCCTTCCACCGGCATGAATAAAAAGAAATTCATCGAAATTCTGAAAGATTTTTACCTAGAACAATTAAATGAAGTTCCTACGAGAAAAAACAATATCCTTGATCTCGTGATTACAAGTATTCCTGACAAGATAAACATGAGCGAAGTATTAAAGCCAACTGATGCAGGAATCTCCACAGATCATAGCGTTATAATGTTTGATCTGATCACAGCGTGTAACTCATTACCAAGAATTAAGAGAACTGTGTTCGACTATTGACGAGTTGACTTTGATGGTCTACAGGCTTGTCTTGGAAATCTTAACCTTCACGAGAAAATAACAGAAAATGGCAATATTAACCAAGATTGGTCGGCCTGGAAAAATACGTTTCTTACGGCAGTCGCAGAGTGTGTCCCTGTCAAAAAATTGAAAGGTCGGAGGTTTCTTCCATGGATGAATAATACAATCCTTCATTTAATTAAGAAGAAAAACACTTTAAGAATGAAAATTAAAAAATCTTGTTTCCCAAGTGATCACTTGAAAACTAAATCCAAGAGTCTCCACACTACAATTAAACAGATGTTACGTGACAATCGCCTTGAATACTTGAACAGTATTTGCGCATCTCGTAATTACAACCCAAAACACTTTTGGTCTTTTTTCAAATTGAAGTCTAAAGTTAGGAACATTCCGGGGAAAGTTTCAACAAAGATAAACGAACGTGAAAGAAAACATGTTGACAGCTACTCGGACATCGCGAATATGTTCAATGAATATTTTGCCTCTGTCCTCACTCCACAATTTGTTAGTGACATCTTAGAACATCGAGGCTATACCTACAATACTATCACAATGCAGGACATAACATTATCGGAAGCAGAAGTCATAGCTGTAATATTGAATTTAGACAGCAACAAAGCGCAAGGTCCAGACAACATCTCACCGCGTTTGCTGAAAGAAACAGCCATTCAAATTGGGCCTTCGCTCTGTTCTCCCTTTAACAAGTCCCTTCAAATTGGTGTTGTTCCAAGCGACTGGAAACTTTCAAACGTGGTTCCTGTGTATAAATACGGAGAAAAGTCCTATGTTGAACATTTCCGACCAATTTCACTGCTTTCACTCCAAAGTTCTTCAACGTTGCATCTTTAACAATATCAAACAACACGTTTACGAACAATTAAATCCTTGCCAAAATGGCTTCATGCCAGGGAAGTCGTGCATCACTCAACTTGTTGAAGTTCTCAAACACATTGGTCGTGAGTTAGATCGTGGTAAGCAAATTGATGTACTCTATCTAGACATGTCAAAAGCCTTTGATAAAGTGAGTCACGCCAAGCTACTACAGCGTCTTCATGAATTTGGGTTTGGAGGCAGCATCCTCAATTGGTTTAAATCTTATTTGAGAAACCGATACCAGCAAACAACTATTCTTGGTGCAACATCAAAACCTCTTCCAGTGACATCAGGAGTACCACAAGGTTCCATTCTTGGGCTGTTATTGTTCTTGCTGTATGAAGATCATCTCTTTTACACCGTGAGTAATTCAAACATCGCTACATTTGCTGACCATACGAAGATCTTTAAGACCATCAACACCACCTCCGATGCATCTGATCTACAAAATGACCTATCAAGCTTCGAAGAAAGCTTCACCAATGTGAACCTGGTGTTGAACGCAAGCAAATGCAAAGTGTTGAGAGTCACACATAAACATAACAAAATCATTTACCCATATACTTTAGACAATACCATCATAGAAAGCACGGATTGTGAGCGTGATCTCCGAATTTTAACATCATCTGCCTTCAAGTGGTCCAGACATGTTGAGTGTCAGTGTGCCAAAGCCTCCAAGACTCTAGGATATGTTCTGGAAGGTCAACATTTGACATTAAAGACACCACAATCCGTCGCACATTGTATTTGACGCTCGTTCATTTTTCAGTTATGCTATGGGTCACAAATCTGGGGACCTCAAACCATCAATCTCATCCGACATATGGAAAGGCTACAACGACGAGCGACGAAGTACGCTCTGGATCTACCGTTTCGTTCTGATACCACCTACACCCAGAGGCTTACACTTCTGAATCTCATTCCTTTGTCTTACTGGCATGAATTCTTGGATATGGTGTTTTTCTTCAAACTTGTCCACAAACTCGTGAGCATCGACAACAAGTTATTGCCATTATCACCCATCCACAACAAAAGAGAAACGAGATCAACAAATCCTAACAACCTCTCATTTAGAACAACACAGTGCAAAACCACCACATTCCAGAAGTCTTACTTAAATAGATCAACTTGTTTATGGAATGTCCTACCAAGCGATTTAAAAGGCAATGAAATCAGCCTAAGTCAATTCAAAAGTGGACTTTTCCAATACTATGAAGTAGCTGTGGCAACTGTATATGACATTGAAGACCCAAGAACATGGAAATCTATATGTTTGTGCTGTAATAAGTGTCGTAAACTGTCATGTGAATTATCGTGTTGTTATTAAGGCCTGTTTAAGCGGGTGCAATGCTGTAACTACGCTCAAAAAAGGAATTTATCTCAACTTTTGTTAACTAGATTTGAGTAAACATCATGTAATGAACTGGTCAAAAGTAGTAGTATTTATGTCATCATTTTGTCTGATGTATTGCATCCGTTTAATTTGGTTTTTAGTTTGTGTGTTTATCATTATATATAGGGCCGCTGTAATTGGCTAAAGCTGTAGCGTGCACCTAGCCAATTCTGTTTAGATGTATGCGTGTGTGTTTCCATAACTATATCTAGTATATGTATTTATGTAAATGTCAGTATATTCATTAATTGGCAAAGATGAATAAATAAATGAATAAATGGAGTCAATTTATGGTGATTTTGTTGTTAAAGGATGTCAGGAATACTTTAAAAATCACATTTGCATTTAGATTACAAACGTTTTCTTTGTGTTAATGTTTATGTTGTGTTTGTTTTCCTAAATAATTTGGGATGGGAGAGAGTAAGAAAATCCCCATCATCTATACCCATGGTGGTAAAAAAACTTAATATTTCTATAAATTCATTATTACAAAAGTTGGGTATTTTATTTTTTCATGCAAACACAAAAAAGAAGGGATAACCAATTGAATTGGTTATATTTTATCAGGTATAAAACAGAGTAAATCATTTGATGTTGTCATTCGTGTTGCGTTTATGCTTGTTTTGTTGTTTAGTCTTATATATTGCTTTAAGCTTTTAAGATGGAATTAATTTAGAAGCCTGATGTTTTTGTTAAAGATAATGCTATTGATGAGTTGCATTATTTAACGTCTTTTGGTCGACAAAATGATCAGTTGTTGTGGTTGCAAGATGGATCAACTGATCTATCTTTAAAAAATGGATCTGTTGCTGATAAATTGATGATATATATTTTGATAGAAAAAAATACTGATTGAAAAAAAATTATTAAAGGTTTTTAAAAATCCCTCCATTATTCTTTCTTTTTTAAAAAAAGGACAAAAGTTAGAATTGCACATGCGAAAAATCCAGTGTTTGAACAATCCAGTTTGCAAAGATGGAGACGGGAAATTTTTAAAATTAGTGAAGTTTTTGTCACTGATCCCATAACATATGAGATCATAGGCGTACGGGGTCTCATAATTTTGGGGGGGCAAACTGGGACAATTGCCCGAATTTTTTTCTTTATTAACAATAGCTAATATATGCAAAGGCAGCGAAGCGCATATACATGAAAGCTTTCATGCTAAATTCGTAGCACCATACATTATTTGAGCAATTAATAAAAATGGTAAACTGCATGAACGAATATAAATATTTAGAAAAAGGATCAACTAGGTCTATCACTAAAAGAAGTATGACTGACGTCCATGTCGTCGACCAAATGTGTTAATTATGTCATCTATGTCATTGTTAACAACTTTGTTGGCATATGTTCGTTCAATGTTAATCAAAGCCGCCGAATTCAACCGTTCTTGACCCATATTCGAGCGAAGGTATGTTTTCACTCGTCTTAACCCACTAAAAGACCTTTCAGCAGATGCGGATGTCGCTGGAATTGATGCCAGTATAGTGGATACTTCGTATAACACTGGCAATAGGTCGTTAAGTCCGCATTCAAACATAGATTTCACAACCTGCACAGCTGTTCTCGGCTGAGTATCCGGATCGGAGTCTTCGGTTACGGAATTCTCATACATACTCTTTTCAACTGCAAGAATTTCTTGGTCAACTTTGTAAAATTCAGCTACGAGTTCAAAACTGTTCCGTGAAGGTGTTTTGCTTAACACAACGTCCCCCAATGCGCAGAGAATTTCTTGATCGTTCTTACTGAATCGCGATTTCATTTCTCCAATAACGGAATCAAGAGATCGATAAAAGGTGTTGATACGATGATGGTTTTTTGGCGTTGTAACTTTCTCAACATTATCAGATGATTCCCCAATAAGAGCTTGAAGTCGACGAGACGGGCGGTTTCGTGGTGCCTTTGCCTCTTTGAATATGAACCGAGATCCGTTAATTTCCTCTTTTATTTCTTCAGACATGACTATCGTTCTTTTCCATAATAGCTCAAAATTGTTTTCGTTTCTACAATTTGTGAGGGTCTTTATAACTAAATCCGCATTTCTTTTAGCATTGATTACGTCAATGCTTTTCCCTTGTAGGTATTTACTCAAAGCGTTTGTATTTGACAATATGACCTTGAGCAGGATCAAGCCAAGGACGAATTGGAAATCACAAACCGCATTCAACAGGGCGGTGGTATCCCTGTAGGTTTTAGTATCCTTATCTTCAGATAAAATGAGAAGAGCTTTGATTACTTTCCTGATCTGTTCATAGATTGCTTTCACTGCCTCCCATCTGCATGACCACCTTGTTTGACTCATAGACTTTAATGTAAGATTTTTTATGAAATTGCCGTCAACTTTCACAGAACTGAATACAGCATGACGTTTTGGACTGGCTTCTAAAAAATTGTATAGGCCTTGCAATGTCCCTAAAGAATTTCTCAATGGTTCTATTTCGCTCATAGTATCTTGCAAAGCCAAATTAAGAACATGTGCATAACAATGCACATACACCGCACGGGGGCAGCATTCTTTCATTCTTGCAGCTACCCCTTTATGAATGCCGCTCATATTTGATGCTCCGTCAAAGCACTCACCAACAATGTCTTCCAATTTCAGACCATTTTCTGTGATTACGTTCTTCAAAAGTTCAAGCAAAACGATTCCTTCAGTCGAGGAAGTGCAAAAAAATCCAATGAAAGTTTCAAGTGTTTCACCCGCCAAAACGTACCTTAAGCATATTGAAACTTGCTCTATGCGACTAATATCTGACGTTTCATCCATAATGACAGCAAAATTTCGACATGACAACACGTCATCCTTGATTCGTTTAACAATAAAATCAGATAGAATATTTAAGATCTCGTTCTGGATTGACGGCGATGTCCACTGGATGTGCGACTTGAGTTGACGTTGTAATTTTTCTCCAAGCCACGGGATGTCATTACATCTTAGGTGCAACAGTTCCAACAGATTTCCTCGATTTAGGTCAGAAGCTCCAGCAATGTCATCTCTTTTCTCTTTGTGCCCTCTTAATGCCACATTTTGCTGTGCAATATAAAATATGCTGGTGATAATCACTCGCAGATATGCACGATTGTGCATAATATCTCGTTGATGAGCGTCCGCTAACTGTTTGAGTACAGATGTTTGTCGCTTACAATTAATCTTTGCGGTAATCCATTTGGTCATTGCATTCTTATGGACAGCACTTTTTGTATGCTTGAAGAGCCGATCACTCCTTTTCCAGTTATCGAACAAGAACGAATTGTCTTTCATAAATTCCTTACAAGGAAAGCATTCACATTTACGGCTTTGAATATCGAAACTCAGCCAAGGGTAAATCTTATACCATTGTTCATTGAAGTCTCTAGTTGATGTTTCATTACTGAACTTCCTACGATTATATTCTGAAAGAATTGGCTGGTGTGGTCCGTGTGAACCGTGTTGTACTATTTCTGGGATTGAATTAGGAGTGGCTGGTACTGAATTATCATTGACATTCGAGTTATCAATTGCGCTCGTGCTCTTTGTCACGTCTTGAACTTCAATGTGAGACTTGGCGGAACAAGTGCAACTTGCGAATTCTTTCTTGGTATTGCATATGTTAGAATTGTCGGACGGAGATACAAGGTTCACTTTTTTGGTTTTAGCACTTAATTCATTGACGATATTCGACGGCTGTGCTCCACACTTCAAACTGCCTGGACTACTGTCAGTGTCGCCCACCACATGAGTTGTTGGCCACGGAGTTGGAGTATTTTCTTCAATAGGGACATCACTGTGTGGTGAAGCAGTTTCAGGAACAATTGTTATTGATTGAGCAATTTCCTTACCATGTTCTTTAGACACAAAAAGCTTCGTTTGCTTTGACGGTTTTGTACCTTGTCCTTGGTGAAAAAAACTACTAAGCTGCGATTGGTTTGATTCCAGTACTATATTAAATTGCACTTTATCTCCATTATGAATATTTTTAATGTGACTTTCTTTATAGTCCGAGTCAATTTCTTTTTTGCATGATTCACAAACAAGTCTGTGGCGATAGCGTCGTTTACGCGTCTTTTTGGAACCCAAAAGTGACATGTAACACGAGTAAAGCAATCCGATATCTACAAAATGTACGCGGCATGAATTACGACATGCTGCAGGGTGTTATACTCCTGTTATAGTTTGTTTCCAAATCCAGTGACTTACTAAATTCTAACAGAGTTTTATATTCATGTATTATAATATTATTAAACGCAGTATTTCATACATTTATGAAGTACTGTTAAATCTTTTAAATGTCTAGAACTTCTCTCATTTTTGAATAATATTGGTTATTGTTACAGTACCTGTTTCACGATAATAGCTCGTACAGCCTCACAGTGCAATGGTGCATAATATAAATAATATCATTTGTTTTGCTCAGTGAACAGGTTTTGCTTCCTAACCATGCGGTACTTCATGTAGTTATAGCGTAGGGAACTCAGACACGCGGCATATTGCGCGAGTCGAATGCTCCGGAGCCTTCGGCGCACCTCGAGGCAGCTGGCCTCATCGGCTCAATTTGCGCATTTATTTGATTTTTCGAGGTGCACTGTGCCAGTACCCAGTGTCCAGTGATATCGAATTTTAACGTGTTTCCTTGGATGACATCTTCCCTTAAAATTTTGCCCGAATTCTCGATTATTTTGCCCGAATTTGGACAATTTTTCAAAATTTTTAGGGGGGCAGTTGCCCCCCCTGCCCCCCCGGCCCGTACGCCTATGTATGAGATTACCGACTTAAATAACGAGGTAATAAAGGGGAAGTTTTATAGAGAAGAATTGCAAGTTGTGTAGAAAATTAAAAATGACAACGAGAAATTTGTTTATTCCTAGCAATTGTCCGGGGGGAAATAATTTTACAAATGATTTTGTTATGTCTCTTTTATCACCAATATGTCTCTTTTATCACCTGTTTGAAACAAAACATTTTAATACTCTTGCTGACCATACTACTGTCTATTTTTATTCATGTTTGGGGCATAAAGATTATATTGAAATTAAAATTAAGAAAAAAAATATTCCCAATGGAATTTATAGTTTAAAAAAGATATTAAAATTTATTATTGGGAATATTGAGGAATATGGAATTATTTTTTTACAACAAGCAAATGGAAAACTTAAGTTAGTTTGAAATTCATTTTTTGAGAAATGGTTTACTCAAAAAAATGGTTTTCCTGATCTCAATAGTGGTGCAGAAATCAATTTTGACCATCATGTTCAATTAAAAAAGTCTGAGTATAATGAGACCAATAATGTTCATTGGGAAGTACTTTTCGGAAATAAGAAGATAGTACGTCTGGAAAAAAATTAAATACTTATACTAATAAATTTATAGCCTTAATAAAGATTTTATTGAAGGGGTTACAGATGCAAAGATTCTTTGAAGTATTTGCTAGGATTTGGAAAAAAACAAAAAATAACGCTTTTAAAAAAAAGTTTTAATGAATCATATAATTCTTCTTCAACTTAATGTATTGAGGATTCTTTTTTACCTGACATAAATAACGGTGTTCATGATTTATTTATTTATTGCAATGAATTGCAAGGTGTTGCAGTTGGTAAAAGTATCTCAGAGTTATTATGTGTAGTGCGAATTAAAAAAGATCTAGGAGAAGGGGATTCTGTGTCCTATACACCCCCGTCATTTAAGCGGAAATGAAAAAAAAAAGTAATTTCTTGCATTCTACGATAAAGGATTCAGGTGGAAAACATATACCCTATAATTTCGGAAACGTTAATATTCAAGCTCTTGTTCACTATGCTTAAGCTTAAGTAAACTTGCGAAAAAAAAAGATTTTAATGTTGCTTTTGCAACTATGATATGTCATATAATTTTATGTTTAAAAGTGATTATGAAGATCAGGATCTATATGCTTCACTTGAGAATTATAGTGGAAAAAATGTGAAGGGAAATTTAATAATTTCATGATTGATCTTAATGATGAAGATTTAAATAATGCTGATTCACCTTAGGCTAGTGACAATAATACGATGGGGTGGAAGGGTATAGATTATGGCGATTATACAATTTTCGCCCACGGATTGTCAGATTATTTAGATTCATCTATAATTAAGAGATCTTATTATTCACCAGCTGAGGCGAAGACTCTTAACATACTTAGTGGAATATCAACTCCATCCTTGAAACCAACATTATGTTCATGCAAGTATATTTATCGTAGTTATAGTAATATGCAATATATACATTTTTTCGCACCTCATCACAATAGAAGAGAGGAAGGTGGTTTGTCAACCCCTCAAAATTCAGTGGGTGATGAATTAGGTGTCGATCAATATTTTTTATTAGCCAAAATTTTTTTTCATTTTATTAATGTAAATGCAAATAAAGAAAAATTTACTTGCAAGTTTAAGCTACCCAAATCTCTTTTAATCACAAAGGATAATTTTAACAAAAAATTTAAGTTTATTTGTGAATATGAAGACAGTGCTAATGGTGCTTTTACAAATGAAGAAATTAATTTGCATTTTGTGTTATCAGATTGATATTAGTATCTGATTGAGATTAGTTTCTTCATTTTTTAATATGGCACGAAGGGAAGAAGATATTGAGTTGTGTAAATCAATGTTATACGGAAATTCACGAGGAAAAAATTATGCTGGAAACTTATTTTACATAAAAAGCATAAAAAAGGGGAGAGAAATAAAAAAAGAATCAATTGTTGAAGCCACAAGCACCGATGTAATTCCTCAGAGTAATTTGAATCAAGAAACAACCTTAAAACGAAATTCAGGAAAACAACAGAAAAGAAAATCCCGAATTGATGCAAAAGTGTCAAAAACAATTTTTGGTGGAGATTAAGAAATGGTTTATTTATCATCAAAGGATATTACATCGATAACGACAGATGGAAGAAGGGATTTTCCGAGGAAAAAACATCAACATGGAAAGAAAAAACAAAGAGGGGGGAAAAAGAAAAAACAGACAGGGAAAGGAATTGGTGGGGGAATGGCTGCAGGTTTATTAATTCCTAATTTAACATCAACTTTGGGGAATGTTTTAAAAGTGAACATTTGGGTGAGAGATTTGTAAGCGATTAAGAAAAAAATATATTGTCTGCATTTCATTTTCTTTGTGTCATCATGGTGAAGCGAAGTGCCGAGGAAGCGGGATTGAGTGACCCCAATCAAAGAATTGAAAAACATGATAATGTTTACGTAACAGGGATTGAATTGTACAGAAATTTTCCTGTTGATAAAACATTTGTAGAGAATCATCATGAAATTATTAATGCCACCCCTGTTGACCCGCTTGCCGACATTTACACATTCCGTCACTCAGCAACACCATCCGAATTAATTTTAATAAACAAAGTATGAATTTCCGCTGATTGTCAATTAATGAATCATGTCACAAATAATGCTGTTGCTGCAGCAGCTGATTCATGATGTTTATTAAAATCCCCATTTTTTTTATGCACCATGTGGAAAACAGAGAAGAATAAAATAAATCATGATTTAATTAACTTAATTTAATTAACGAGCATCTGCTAGAATAGAACAATGGGTATTAAGACTTCAACCATAAGATTCTGATGCACAGATTATAGCTGACACATTATCTTGGTTGGTGCAGAAAACAGAAGAAATGCCACGGAACGTTGCGGAGGAGTATGTTGGTAGTGTGGCAATGTACGTTGTTCCAATAGCGGTGTCTATTAAGGAAATGGAGAAAGAGTCTGTTAACACACAAGAAGTTAACACAGATCAGGCAATGTATTCAGAACAACAAGTGGAATTTTAGCCCAGCAGCATATAAAGCAGTGCGGACAGAGTTGTGTGTAGTAGGAAAGCTAGTGTTATGAGGTGTTAGAATTGTCATTCCTCATAATTTGAAAGGTGAGTCCTGGCCCACGAAGGACACCAGGGTATAGTAAAATCGAAATAATGTTCGCGTTTGAAGGTGTGGTGGCCTGGTATTGATAGCAAAATGGAACGAAGATGTAAGACATGTTTTGGATGTCAACTCGTAAGTAATCCATGTCTTCCAGAACCAGTAAAGAGAACTAAGTCACCCGACCAACTGTGCCAAATGGTGGCAGTAGATTTGTTAGGATCATTGCCGTTGGGGCATTATTTGTTGGTGCTTGCCGATTATTTCAGTAGATTTGTGGAAGTAGCCATTATGAAGTCAGTATTGTCACAACTGGTTGTTCGAGAGCTGGAACAATTCTTTGCAGTTCATGGTAATCCTGAGTCTCTAAAAACAGACAACGGACCACAATTTGTATCAGAGGAGTTTGGAGTGTTTCTAAAAGAAAATGATATTTTCCATTTAATGTCAAAACCTCTCTGGCCTCAAGGGAATGGGGAAATCGAAAGACAAAATAGATCCTTAATCAAGGCCCTTAAGATTGCTCAAATTGAAAAGAAATATTGGCAACGAGAATTGTTAAAATTCTTACTGGCTTATCGCAGTACTCCGCATTCCATGACTGGTGTTTGTTAGTCCTGCAAAGATGTTGTTTGGGCGAGAAGTCTGAACTAAACTGTCAGAGTTATGGGGAAGAAAGATGTCAAGGGAACAGTAAGGAAAGTAGAGTAAATAATCCTAATCCTGGTAGACCTGATAGACCTCAGAGAGTGTGTTGTGCCAGAACGTTTTAAGGATTATATATGCCCATATGTTGATCATAGTTGTAGGTAGTTTGTAATGCATGAGTTTAGTTAGTGCCATAATTCAATTTAAGTACATTAAAGTTGTAAAACGTTTTGTAAAAAAAACTTCAGCATAGACTAATTTAGGTAAATGTGAACAATAACGTTAAAAAAAAAGGGATTGTGATGTTAATTAGGTATAATTATGCATGCAATACTTGTGTATATAAAAATGGTTATAGGTTTTCAATACAAGCAGTTCAGTATTTGAACCTGTGTGCATCTATGCTCTAAAACAGTTGTTAGACACTAGTAGATTACCCCCCCATATAGCGCCAAAATCATGCAACGCGTGATCCCCACGCGGGCCGTCGAAAACTGTCGGATTTTCCCGAAGATGTGCGTGGTCTCCACGCAGGGTGAGAGTGTGACGTTATTAAACCGTAATTAAGTACACAGTAAGGATTTGTCAGGTAATACACATTTAGTATGACAACATTTTAATACTATGTTTCTTTCAATAGCATTAGGACTGTTTATTTTATTACATGATATTATGAGAATGTTTCTTTCAATCCTACTAGGACTGTTCGTTCATTTTAAGAGTTAATTTCTTAAATAATCTGAAGGGAACAGGTTTTTTATTTTTGTTTGTGATTACATTTGTCTCTCTCCAGCCATAACTCGTACGCTTCTACTTCAACTTTAGGACAATGTTGATATGCATCGGCTGCCAAATGCTTCCCGCAGGTCTCCAGCCATACTAGATTTTTTATCAGAATTTGCGCTTTCGGGCATCCAAAACACTCCAAATTGATGGAGGGAATGTTCAGGTTTGCGAGGAGATCCTTCTCGTATCAAACATATTGTTTACAAAAGGTAATTTGTGAGCGCTACAGTGTGCGCTACGGTGTGCGCTACGGTGTGCGCTACTCCCACGCGTGATGATGTGCGCACAAGTATTTGTTTACAAAAGGTCATTTGTGAGCGCTACAATGTGTGTTACACCCACGCGTAGTGATGATGTGCGCTACGGAAATAATTACATTACACAGAGTATTTGTTTTCATATGGCTACCGTATTATGATACAAGAGTAGCGATATAAGGCAGAGCAACGAGTACATACATACATACATCATTTATTAGAAGCTCCTCGAAAGGCTTTTCAGCTCTAATTTACACTTATTAGTAATATACTATATATCGATATATTTACAAGGGTTTGAATTAATTTACAAATATGTCATGGTAATATTTTAAAAACTCCAATTTAAAACATTGGTTGAAATTTACATTAACAGGAATTACTTATTTAAGAAATTCGTGAGAAGGTTTTTCTTCATATTAAGTTTAAAACTTTGGACTGTCATTCTAGATTTTAGTGAGTCCTCAAGGCTATTCCAAATTGATGAAGCCCTATATAAGAAGGACCTTTGAGCTTTAGAAGTTCTACAAAGAGGTTTATGTAATTGTTTACTCTGCCGTGTTACACGATTGCTAATCTCAGAACGAGTAACAAACTTTTGACATAAGTAATCAGGTGCTAACTTGTTCATACATTTGTACGTCATAACGCAGTCCCGTAGATACAAGACATCCTCGACGGGGAGCCAATTCAGTTGCTTTAAGGCAGGTGTTATGTGATCATATTTACGGGATCCTGTCATTATGCGAGCAGCAAAGTTTTGCACTGTCTTAAGTTTGTAAATGTTCTTTTGACTTGTTGAGGACCAAACAGTGGAACAGTAGAACAGCTTGGAGAAGACATAAGATTGTATTATCATTTCCAAAGTTGATTTCCTAAATAGGTTCTTGATTCTATTTATTTGATGCAGTTTCTTCATACAAGATGATACTGACTGTTTCATGTGTTCATCAAATGATAGACTTGAATCCATAATTAGGCCAAGATCTTTAGCATGTTGCACTGGTTGTATTGTTTTCCCAAAAACGTAAATGAGGTACCGCTGGAATGTGTTTCAACATCTGCTGTGTTCCAAAGAACATAATCTTTGTTTTATCTGGGTTAGCAAGAAGGCAATTGTTACTTAGATAAGTAGCAACCGTGAAGAGATCATTATTTACTGTTGTTACTACATCTTGTAAGTTTCCAATACAAAATGATAAAAACAGTTTGGAGTCATCTACATAACTTTCGAGTTTGCTATTTAGCGGAATACAAGGAAGATCATTAACGAATAGATTGAACAATAAGGGTCCAAGTATACTGCCTTGTGGAACTCCTTTCGTTATGGGAAGTAAGTCCGATATTTCGGCGCCAATCCGAACTGCTTGCATTCGTCCGGTAAGATAGCTCCGAAACCATTCTAGTGTACTTGACGAGATTCCACAGTTCTGTAACTTGCGGAGGAGACAATCGTGGTCAATACTATCGAATGCTTTGCTCAAATCGAGCAAAACAAGAACAGTAACTTTCTTTTCATCAATAGCTTTGAGAATATGGTCAGTTACCAACAAGTGAACGGATTCAGTCGAGTGTTTACATTTGTTGCCACTTTGATGACTTGTAAGTCGATTATGTTCTTCAAGATAATTTGATAATTGGTTAAAGACTATTCTTTCACAAATTTTAGAATTTGTTGTTAACAAAGAAATTGGTCGGTTATTACTTGCAACTTCGCAATCTCCTTCCTTTACATGCGGCACTACTTCAGCGATCTTCCAAGCTTTGGGGAATGTATTGGAGGTGAACGATAAATTAATTATTTCCGTTAAAGGCTTAGAGACAGTTGATAAACAATCTTTCATAACCTTTGTAGTCACTTTATCCATGCCGGGTGATTTATTTGAAGGCATATTCGTTACCACGGTCACAAGTTCTTCTCTAGTTATTTGGCTGAGGGAAAACTGCTCTGGCTCCGGGTAGTGTATTAAAGGTAGATCCTCTGCAACAGGAATTTGGTGCTCTCGTGCTAATTCCTTAACAAGTTCAGCTGTAGAATTGCCCACGGAAACAAAATATGAATTAAACTCATTCGCAATCTTTTTAGGATTTGCCGATTTTATTGAATCGTTTGGTTTATCTGATGTATACCGCCGAATAGTTTTCCAAATGGAATGACTATTGTTCTTATTTTGCATGATCTCATTATCGACGAACAATTTTTCCGCTTCGGTAATCATTCTTTTAATTTCAGTCTGTGCCTCTTTGTAAAGGGCCCAGTCAATATGGCACCGCGTCCTCCTTGCTTTTCGTAAAAGAGCGTCTCTCACTTTCATTTGGTCTTTTATTTCGGGAGATATGAAGGAACTTGTACGATGTTTAAATGACATCAATTTAACTGGTGCATGTAGTTCCAATACTGGAAGGAAGGCATTGTTAAATTGTTCCACACGAGTGTCTATATCAGTAACATTTTCTAAATTATTCCAAGAAACTTTCGAGATGTCATCACTAAATGTTTGGGGTTCATACAGCTTGTATGATCTAGATCTAATTTGAAAAGGTTTAGGTTTTGATGCCTTGAGGCGAATTGAAGCTGTTACAGTAAAATGATCGCTAATTGTATTTTCCAAAACTGTAGAGCTAATAACTTGGTGTGGATTTGTTGTTAGAATAACATCAAGTAAAGTTGTTGATTCCTTTGTAACTCGGGTTGGTTTTGAGACAATCTGTGATAGATTTAGCATGGTACAAAGTTCCTTTAAGACTTGAGATTCAGGTTTATTAGATAACAAGTCACAATTGAGATCTCCCATTATAATTATGTCTTTACCGTACAAAAAGGCTTTTATAATAGAGGGCGTCAAGTATTGTTCCAAACAAGTTATTTCACAATCCGGTGGGCGATATACAACACAGAGTAAAAACGATTTTAATTTTATATGTTGAATTCTTACCCACAGTTGTTGGAAACCATTTTCCGATGTAGATGATAAATCTGTGACTTCTTTTGCTTTAAGATTATCACGAATGTAAGCACATACTCCACCTCCACGTTTATGACGACGATCGCCTCTAAATAGTTTGTAACCTGATATGTTTACATCCCTATTACTCACCGTTGAGTTCAGCCAAGTTTCGCTCGCTGTGAATATGTCCCAATCGTTGTCAGATACTAATTCGTTAACCTGAATGAAGTTCGTTCTATTCTTTATTGAGCGCACATTAAGATGTGCTAGACTAACATTCCTTAGGGATTTACAGGCTGTATTTTGTGCCGTCAAGTCTGGTCGTACATAGATTAGATTCGCCGGACATACTTGTCGTCGGAAATTTGTAGAAATCCTTGTTCTTCGGGTCGATATTATTGTTGATATATTGCTTTCCTTACGTGAATTGTTCATCGAATTAACTGGTTTCGGAATAACATTACTAACTGGACCAGGGTTAGGATGAACATCGCCAGAGAGTTGTAATACCTCATTGTAAGTCGCTTGGCCATTTGCATAGTAAAGAGATCGTCTTTTACTAAATTTCTTCCTTACACTTGGATAATACTTGGTAAAATTTGTACATTTCCCTAATTCTTTAGTTATGCTACGTGTGGAAAGAGTAAGACAGTGTCCTTCCATCCTGAAATGTTGTGAGTATCTGTCTAAATGTATTTCAACACCAAGACCAAGTGAATAATCCGCTTGGCTGATTTCATAGCCATGACCAAGATTGGATATTACTGCCAATTTTACATTATATACTGTCGGATTCTTTATTCCAATCGCATAGGGTTGTTCACCAATTGATTCCTCACATTTTAAGTCGAGGATCTGGGCTAAAAGGTTAAATTGAACGAAAAAAACAGCAAAGGTGTGCAGAGAAAACATGACCACGTCCAGTAATTTTTCGGTATTACCTGAGAGAGTAATTTTTCGGTATTACCTGAGAGATGACGGTTTTGCTCTTGCTACTGTGACACATGTTATTTGTTAATATGAATATAATTGACAAAAATTGAGCAAGCTCAAACTGTGGCTGAGCTTACGGATTTCGAAAATCGCTATAATTTAACTGATATGGAAAGGGATTTTCTGTTTGAGAAGAAGATAGAAATTATGAGTCGTTTACTTCGATGAGAAATGGAGAATGAACGATATGGTATTGCTGCGAACCTGACAGATTCTTGGACCCCTGAACAACGCCAAAGTTTCATGAACGACTGGCGAAATGATGAGTTATTCAACGATAAAGGGGGGCTTGCTTCGGGGCTTGCTGATACTTGGACGCCAGAGCAACGAAGACATTTTTTAACCGATTGGCAAAATGATGGATTTATGTCACAGCTTGGTCATGGACAGAAAAGACCTGTCGACGAAGTGAACGAGGGTGCAAGCACATCTAACGAGGTTAGCGATAGTAATTATTTTACCATGAGAGATGTAAAGCAAGTTAAAGTTAAAAAGTTTAAAACTACCGGAGTGGATTACACCGTTCAATTTATGGACACATTAGCTAATTTGGAACTTAACCAATTTCACAATCAACTGCACAAGATATTTGGGAGTTTGCTAAGGACAATTACCTGTGATATCCCAGAGCACGATCAGGTCCGTTTTGTGTTGCAATCGCCTCAACTCGAGACTCCTATCTCTCTTCCATTCATGCCTCTTTCTCGTCTTACGACCGAACGTGTTTTAGCCGAATTTGAACGGGTCGTTCAATCTAATCGTGATTTTCGTTTGAATGATAGTGTTAATGTAAATTTAGTTCATGTTGAAATGCCAAACAGAGGTACTGGGACAAAAAGAAGCGAAATCAATTTAGAAAAGCATTTAACAATGAAGAGGGCAATTGTACATATTCAAAACGCCGACGAAATTTGTTTAGCAAGAGCACTAGTTGTTTCTATCGCGAAAATCGAGAATAACGATTGCTATAAATACATAATCATTCATCGAAAGCCACTTCAAACACAATTGGCATACGAGTTACATGAAAAAGCTAGGGTTCCAATCGGTTCTTGTGGATTAGATGAGGTTAAGCAATTTCAAACCCATTTGTCGGATTATCAGATCAACATCGTTTTGAAAGAACATCAAAACACCATAATTTATTCCGGTCCCAAGAAAGACAAACGGATATATTTGTTTTTGCATGATAACCATTACGACGTTATCACAAGCATGCCGGCCTTTTTTGCTCGTAAAAAGTATTGTCACACCTGTAAAAAAGGATATGATAAAATGACTGATCATTTGTGCGCTGATTTATGTAAATTGTGTCATTCGCAAAACTGTCCATTTGTTTCATGGATTCCATGTGCTGGTTGTATGCATATTTTTAAGAGTCAAAAGTGTTTTGATCAACATAAACAATCTGTAGGCAATGCAAAATCCATCTGTGATTCTTTGGTCAAATGTCTTCATTGTGATCTTGTTGTAAAACGGAGTAGACTGAGGCGTGATTTGCATCACTGCGGTGAAACTCGTTGCTCTACGTGCGATACCTATGTGCAAACTGAGAATCATCAATGCTATATGCAACCCGTAAGAGCGAGAAACACCAGAGACATAAACGAGGCAGCGAGCCTTCTCGATACAGAGGCAAGCGATGAAGACAACTCGCCTCAAAGCGGGTACAATGAACTTTTATTCTTTGACTTTGAGTGTCGACAAGAAAATGGAAACCACGAACCCAACTTATGCGTAGTACAAAACGAGGCGGGTGACGAATGCATAGTTAAAGGGGATGATACAAGAAATGAGTTTTGCGAATGGTTATTTACCAAGGAACATGCAAACTGTATTGTGATGGCCCATAATTTTCAAGGTTACTACGATGGTTATTTCATTCAACAATTTCTACACAAGAGCGGTGTTATTTTTGATATCATCATGCGTGGTGCCAAAATTCTTACATTAAGTGTCCCAATGTTCAAGATTAAATTTATCGACTCTTTGAGTTTCACACCCATGAGACTTGCTGATTTTCCGAAAACATTTGGTATCAATGAGCTTGCAAAAGGTTATTTTCCACATCTTTTCAACAAAAAGGAGAGTGAGAATTACGTTGGACCTATTCCACCAAGTCCATTTTACCATCCTGATGGAATGAATCCTGATGAAAAAGAAAAGTTTCTGGAATGGCACAGCAATTTGAAAGAAAGCGATTACGTGTTCAATTTCCAACAAGAGATTCTAACGTACTATCGTTTGGATGTTGATATTCTACGTCGTTGTTGCCTTGAATTTCGCGATCTGTTTCATGATGTCACAGATATCGACCCGTTTGAGAAATGTCTTACCATTGCATCAGCCTGCAATTTGGTGTTTCGAAAGAATTTTTTGAGAGAGAACACCATTGCAATCATCCCTCCTCACGGTTATCGCCCGAAAGACAAGCAGTCAATTCTAGCTCTAAAATGGCTGACCTTTACTGCTGAAAAGAACGACATTTACATTCAACATGCCCGCAACACGGGTGAGAGACGTGTTGGCAATTATTTGTTGGACGGTTATCACGAAGAGACGAACACAGCTTACAAAATCAATGCTTGCTTTTGGCATGGTAAGTTTTTAAACATTTCTCTTTTTTTTTTTTTTCTTTCTTTAATATTTTTTATTCAATCTTTCCAGGGTGCTTGAAATGCTATGCCAGAGATACGGTGAACAGTGTTAGTGGTAAAACTATGCATGACCTGCTTCAAGCTACAATGGAGAAGACGTGTCACCTCAGAGATCAGGGCTTCAAAGTTGTCGAAGTGTGGGAGTGTGACATCAAGCGAGAATTAGAATGCGACGAAAATATGAGGAATTACTTTGACAGTTACGACCTAGTTGATCCTTTGGAACCTCGCGATGCCTTCTTTGGTGGTCGAACCAATGCTGCAAAATTATTTCACAAATGCAAAGATGGTGAAAAGATAAGGTAAAGTGTCAATCTTAGAGTAAGGTACAGCATTATCATATAATTAATTATGACGTCATTTCTATTGTGATGTCATAGGTATGTAGATTTCACTAGCCTATATCCCTGGGCAAATAGATGACGCGAACAGTCGTCGGCCACACTCATATCATCACAAAAAATTTCGACGAAGACATCTCAAACTAATCCAGGGCTGCGTGCATTGTCAAAATTGATGTTGAATTCATTTTGGGGTAAGTGTAGAGCTATAAACATGAAAGTACATTTTATTTTATTTTGATGCATTTTCATGTCTTTTCATGTCTTTCCCAGGCAAATTTGCGCAACGTCCTAATATGACCAAAGTGGAATTGATCAAAGACCCACAAGTTTACTTTGACTACTTAACTTCAGATGAAATCAATGTTCTCAACGTAAATTTCGTGAGTGATGAAGTGATCGAAATTCACTATGAAAACAATGAGAATTTGTGCCAAACTCTAAAACGAACATGGTCATTGCTGCTTTCACCACAGCTTACGCTCGCCTCAAACTCTACGATGTTCTGGATCAACTTCAAGAAAGAGCGTTGTATTACGACACTGATTCGGTGATCTTCGTTAGTAAACCTGGTGATCCAGAGCCCCCTACAGGTCCGTACCTCGGCGAACTGACGGATGAGTTAAAGGGAGACTACATTACCACATTTATCTCGGGTGGACCAAAGAATTACTGTTACCGCACAAATTCGAACAAAGTTGAGACAAAGATACGCGGTATCACGCTTAATTGCACCGCTAGGCAAAACGTTAACTTTGAGGTGATTCGTGCTTTGGTATACCTTCATGCAAAATGTAATGTCGCAGGGTGGGTATCCGTAGATATCCCATTCAAAATTACTCGCAACACCAAAACAAAGGACATAGAAACCAAACGCATGAAAAAGGACTATCGTATTGTTTATGACAAACAGGTTATTATTGATGAATACAAAACACTTCCATACGGATTCTAAATGCATATACTCTATATTGTCTTTATGTATTATATGTTTATACGTTTCTTGTAAATATATGTTTTCATAATATGTTGTATGTTTCTCTTTGAAAACCCCTTCACACATACAGAGCTTTAGGGACTAAAAAAGTCCCGCACGGGACAAGCAGTCCCTCAGGGACACTTAGTGACCTATGTTTCTCTTTGAAAACCCCTTCACACATACAGAGCTTTAGGGACTAAAAAAGTCCCGCACAGGACAAGCAGTCCCTCAGGGACACTTAGTGACCTATGTTTCTCTTTGAAAACCCCTTCACACATACAGAGCTTTAGGGACTAAAAAAGTCCCGCACGGGACAATCAGTCCCTCAGGGACACTTAGTGACCTATGTTTCTCTTTGAAAACCCCTTCACACATACAGAGCTCTAGGGACTAAAAAAGTCCCGCACAGGACAATCAGTCCCGCAGGGACACTTAGTGAATGATGTGCGCACAAGTATTTGTTTACAAAAGGTCATTTGTGAGCGCTACAATGTGCGTTACACCCACGCGTAGTTATGATGTGCGCTACGGAAATAATTACATTACACAGAGTATTTGTTTTTATATGGCTACCGTATTATGATACAAGAGTAGCGATATAAGGCAGAGCAACGAGTAATTTTTCAATATTACCTGAGAGATGACGGTTTCGCTCTTGCTACTGTGACACATGTTATTTGTTAATATGAATATAATTGAAAAAATTGAGGAAGCCCGAACTGTGGCTGAGCTTACGGATTTCGAAAATCGCTATAATTTAACTGAAGAAGATAGAAATTATGAGTCGTTTACTTTGATGGGAAATGGAGAATGAACGATATGGTATTGCTGCGAACCTGACAGATTCTTGGACCCCTGAACAACGCCAACGTTTCATGAAGGACTGGCGAAATGATGAGTTATTCAACGATAAAGGGGAGCTTGATTCGGGGCTTGCTGATACTTGGACGCCAGAGCAACGAAGACATTTTTTAACCGATTGGCAAAATGATGGATTTATGTCACAGCTTGGTCATGGACAGAAAAGACCTGTCAACGAAGTGAACGAGGGTGCAAGCACATCTAACGAGGTTAGCGATAGTAATTATTTTACCATGAGAGATGTAAAGCAAGTTAAAGTTAAAAAGTTTAAAACTACCGGAGTGGATTACACCGTTCAATTTATGGACACGTTAGCTAATTTGGAACTTAACCAATTTCACAATCAACTGCACAAGATATTTGGGAGTTTGCTAAGGACAATTACCCGTGATATCCCAGAGCACGATCAGGTCTGTTTTGTGTTGCAATCGCCTCAACTCGAGACTCCTATCTCTCTTCCATTCATGCCTCTTTCTCGTCTTACGACCGAACGTGTTTTAGCCGAATTTGAACAGGTCGTTCAATCTAATCGTGATTTTCGTTTGAATGATAGTGTTAATGTAAATTTAGTTCATGTTGAAATGCCAAACAGAGGTACTGGGACAAAAAGGAGCGAAATCAATTTAGAAAAGCATTTAACAATGAAGAGGGCAATTGTACGTATTCAAAACGCCGACGAAATTTGTTTAGCAAGAGCACTAGTTGTTTCTATCGCGAAAATCGAGAATAACGATTGCTATAAATACATAATCGATCATCGAAAGCCACTTCAAACACAATTGGCATACGAGTTACATGAAAAAGCTAGGGTTCTAATCGGTTCTTGTGGATTAGATGAGGTTAAGCAATTTCAAACCCCGGTTTAATAACGTCACACTCTCACCCTGCGTGGAGACCACGCACATCTTCGGGAAAATTCGACAGTTTTCGACGGCCCGCGTGGGGATCACGTTTTGCGTGATTTTGGCGCTATATGGGGGGGGGGTAATCTACTGACACTACACTAGCTTCATGCCTGATTGATCTCCTAGCGGAAGACAGATTCCAACTGACTAAGTTCCTCAGCAATCGGCGAGAAATGCTGAAGGAAATTCCTATCACTGAATGAGCAACACCTACTCTTAACCTGGACTTAGATCAACTACCTATCAATCGTACCCTTGGTCTATATGTTGGGATGCCAGAACTCACAAGTTTTATTTTTCTAGCATTAAAACAGACAAACGAGCAACTAAACGCGGTATTCTTTCTGTCATTAGTTTGTTATTTGATATGCTTGGCTTTCTTTCCCCATTTATTATATTTGTGAAAGTAATACTTCAGGAACTTGGGCATCAGAAACTTGACTGGATGATGAGATACCACAGAAACAACTTGCAATTTGGCAAAAATGATCCAATTGTTTCTTATATTACCTAAAGTCAGAATTCGGTTTTAACTGTAGCATCTGCTTCAAATTCAATATTCTCGATTGGAATTTTCATCATCTATAGTGATTTGGTTGTTGCGTGTAATTTGCATTGACGCTGTTGAACTTTCCTTACTCTCCATTGGCATTGAACTTTTGGTGGGGACTCCATCTCTTCCTGCTGAAGTTTAAGTGCAAGTTTGAAGTTGTTCAACTCATCGCCAGAGCAGATGACTAATGATGCTTGTATATTTCCTTTTGAAGTAAATTTTATGCCACAATTCTCAGCCAAAAGATGCTTGTGCCAACCCATTCTGTGATCTGCCTCACTTAAAACCAACGCCTTAACATTTTTTCATGATGTGAGCTTCCCTTTGAGATGTTTTTGTAGAGTAGCCACATCCTTATTTAATAGTGACCAATTTCGTAGCCCAAAACTGATGTATGTGTCTTGTCGCTCAGCGATAACAATATCTTTAATTTGTTTGGCAACAGAATAAGTTAGTTTGTCTGCAGCTCAACCACCATCGTCCACTTCCTTTCGTGTCTTATTCAATTTAACACACAAACGGCCAATGTCTTTTTCTATAGCTGTATGTTGGGCCTTTTTATTCATGTGCTTGGACAGAATGCCACAAGAAATGCCAAGCACATGCTTGGACAGAATGCACAAGAAAATGCGGATTTACATGGAGAGAAGGTAAATATTTTTTCCTGCGGCCAAATTTCATGTGACATATCCCACATGCAGATAAACCTCCCCCATTTTGGGATGATGCTCTGTAGCTCTGTTGAAATTTTATCTACCATCTCTTTTTGTTTGAAAGCGTACCTTTCAAGGCATCATTATATGTTGTTCCTTTTCACGTATATTCTAATGCTGTTTTCTTTTTCTAAAATTCCTCTCATTTGGACATTGAAGTAACTTTACAAAAAGTCCACTTCAAGTCCATCATCGTCTATGATCCAATGTAAAGAGGCTGCTTTCGCCAAGTGTGGGACATCTTTAAGTACACACATTTTAAACATTTCAAATGAAAAGCTCTCTAATTCTTCATCCAATATGTAAATTGGTGTGATGCGCTTTAGGCCGTATTCTGTGGCAGATTATCATTCAGTTTGTTGCCCCCCTTCAGGCACTATTTGAAAACACGATAGAAAATTAGGATAAATTATAGAAAGTCTAAATTCACTTGTTTTCACTTTCACAAACCTGCAGTTTTCGAGCATTTCATCTTCGAAAAATCAGTGAATTTGCATGTTTTGCAATATACCAATGCCATTTTGATTCAGGAAATGTTTTGGATACTTGGTGTAATATACAACATATATAGCAGATTCAGCAGTTTTATACCGGTATTTAAATGAAGTTTCCTGCATTTTTGCTGTGCAAGCAGGTTTCAAGAAGGAAGCTTTCAGTGGAGTTTTACGAGCTTTTTCACAAATTTTCATAGTTTTTCAAAACTAAATTAGTCAGAGAAAACTTAGACAACAATTAATTGGAAAAATATCCGACAAGTTGTGATTTTTTTAACTAGGAAAAATCTGGAATGTGTTCTCCCTCCCATGCTGCTTTGCATGCCAACGCTTTTGCAGGTTAAAAGCCACACTTCTTTTTCTTCTTAAAATTGAATTGTGGTCATTCTTTCATTGTGTTGATCTTTCTTTCTTTGACTCGAAAAGAAAACACATAACAAATTGGCAGACAACAAAGTCTGGAGTTTTGCAAATAAGAAAATAACGCATTATCCCACAGCTTTACTACCCTATACACTGATGCTACTCTCCTTTATAATAAACTAACTTGCTATGGTTAAAACTATACAATACAGAAACATACTCCGTATCGTAAATCAATTTCGACCAAATAAAATTGTGAGAGAATTACGAGTGCCTTATAATTTAAAACACAAATAAAATGTTGAACTCAACCCTTTTAACCAGACAGCTAATACCACAACTCATCATGGACGTCATCGCTGAAATCCAGATTAGATCCTGATCCTTCAAGTTCATCATCGTCATCAGATTGAGCCAGGCCATAACTGTTATCATCGTGGTTACCATCTTCAACTACTGCATTCTGGCAATCACTGTTTTGCAGGAACAGCGCATGGTTGAGCATCCAGTCTTGCACTTGCACTCAACACACTCCATTAAAGATCACGGAGCGGGTGGTTGTGTCATCCAAGTTATCTCTAGCTCTTTATCGTCAACCATCCAGCCATTACCAACCGGTGATGGAAGATTGACTTCTGCGATTAAACACTGATACCATGATTGCTAATCCCATTACTGGTAAAAGCATGAAAGCCTAGTAAACAAAGAGCAACATCCACGACCAAAAATTTTGAGATAATTGCTACAAATACGCAACAACTCTATCTCCCATGCCAGTCAAAAAGAAAATCTCTTTCTGCGTCTGTTGTTGCATAGCAATCGCATGTATAAGAACATGTGTATCAGGGCTTTTGATAATAACTTTATCGTACGTTGCTGCTGCGTGGTTAGCATGTAGAATTAAACGACTGTCTACTTCTTTGTGGTTGCAATGAAGCGAAGACACCTCATTACTTGTAACACTATCATTTGGGGAATCACCCGGATATAAAACATAGCATCTTTCTGTAGCAGTTATGTACATAGTTGAAATGGAACACCACCAAGAGGAGTTACATGACCTCCAGTGTTCACAGGCAAGTTACACTGAGTATATGAGCAGTCAAGCCAAGCGGACGTGCCTTTTAGTGCTCCGCCTAATGCTTGAATTTTATTCCCTAAACTATTGTATTAAAGTCAGAGGTATCCATACAACCTATTAGTTTTTTGCTTCTGTCCAACTAATGCCACCTAAGAAGAACAAGAATACTTCAAAACCAGAGAATCCTGATGGCGAAATCAGCGCCGAAGTTACGGAATCGACGAATGAGAAAGCAACTCTCAAAGCACTCCTAGATAGTCGCCTGAACAAACAGTCTGACCATCTGAATAATCTATTCTTAAAGTTTTTGAAATCTACAAAAAGCGACTTGGATGAAATAAAACAAAGTCAGGACTTTTTAAGTTCTAAATTTGATTCCTTAGCTACATCAGTGAATGAGCTTCGAGCCGAAAACAACGACCTACGCACATGTAACGCTCAGTTAACTGATCAAATGAAGAGCCTACAACAGAAAGCTGATGCATCTGAAGATGAATTAGAAAACCTAAAGCAATATATCCGAAGAGATATGCTAGAAATTCACGGTATTCCTGTCACTGAGGGCGAAAATACGAACAATATTATTTTAAACATTGCTAAGCTCGCTGATCATACATCCACACTGAAGCAAGACATCTCAATCAGTCACCATTTACCCTCTCGCCAAGGTCAAATCCCAGCTATTATAGTTAAATTTGGCCAAAGAGACACCAGAGATAAAGTTTACAAAATGAGGCGTAACCTGTTTACAAAAACCTCAGCTGACCTCGGTTTCCCTGAAGAATCTCGTATTTATATCAACGAAAGCCTGACACAGAAAGGTAGAGACTTGTTATGGGCAGTTAAAGAGTATAAACGGGAGAACCGCTATAAATATGTCTGGATATTTGGTAAAGTTTTCCTTAAGAAAGATGCCACTCCTTCTTCACAAGTTTTCTCCTTCACGTCAAAAAAAAACTTTGATCAATTAAAAGCTGGACTCAGTTCTCATCGATGACAACATCACTTATGGACTCAAGATAAGTTTGTATAGTGTGTAATTTAGTGGTTCAATATGTCTGATATGCTCAACTTGCCTTTTTGTCATCTTGATGATGACGAATTTAACATGGTATTATACGAGTTTGAAAATGGTTTGGTACGATTTGATGAGGACAGGTTATCCTCACTGGTATTTAACCCATTGCTATTTGACCACAATAATAATCTTGCCATATGGGGTGACTTAGATGCCGATACTAATTTTTATTCTAAAGTATCCCATAGCTGCGACTACTACACTGAACATAAACTAAGTGATTTATTGTCTACCAAGGTAGAGATACCAAACAATAACTGTTTTTTGATCCTCCATCTAAACATAGAAGTTTACCCAGGAATCTTGAGAATTTATCATATTCGCTTGCCATTATCAAACACAACTTTTCTATTATTGGTATTTCCGAAACCTGGCTTCGCCATGACGGCCACTTTGTTAGTGTTGACGGGTTCAACTTTGTTCATAATTATAGGCCCAATAAAATAGGAGGCGGCGTTGGTCTTTATCTAGCTAACGAGTTCCAATTTCAATTACGTTCCGACCTTGTCTTTGCCAATACAGCATGTGCTGAAAGTTTATTTGTTGAAATTCCGAATCCCAAGGGAAAAAACATTATTGTTGGAGTAATATACAGGCCTCCCAATGAAAATGTTGATGGGTTTATTAATAATACTGACAAACTAATCTCCTCCATTTCTAAAGAAAACAAAGTGTGCTACATAATGGGCGATTTTAATTTGAATCTATTAAATTATCATAGCCATCAACGTACCGGTGAATTCCTCGATATTATGTACTCTAATATGTTCTTTCCATCAATAACACGGCCTACCCGCATTACATCTAATTCCGCTACCCTTATTGATAACATATTTACAAATAATTTGGACTCATACTCATTTAGTGGACTATTATTCACCGACATTTCAGACCATTTACCAATTTTTGGCTTTTTTCGTGATCAGTCAGTGGTAAATCATGGCGATGCTTATGTAACTTTCCGCGATAGGAGCAAGACAAACTTATTAAAATTTCAAGACATTCTTAAAAACCATAGATGGTCTGATATTCCTGGATATGATGACCCCAAGCATGCATATGCCAGTTTCTATCATGACTTTATGCAAATATACAATACCTCTTTTCCAGTAAAAAGATTAAAAGCGGCAAGATTTAATAATAAGCCTTGGCTATCCAGCGGTATTTTGAAGTCCATAAAGAAAAAAAGCAAGTTATACAAGAAATTATTAAGTTTTCCAACTCCTTCCAATGAAGACAGGTACAAAAAGTACAAGAATAGATTAACCCACATATTACGCACCCCTAAACGCCTATATTATGAAAAGAAGCTGGAATCCAATAAAGCCAATATTAAAGCAATGTGGAAAGTTATTAATGAAGTTAATAATAAGAAAAGCCGTAGTACCTCTTTGTCATCAACCTTTATTGATAACAATTCAAATGTTACAAATCCTTTAGATATTGCCAATAGGTTTTGTGACTATTTTACTAACATCGGCCCGAACCTATCCAAAAACATACCTTCCTCAACGCAATCACCCACGTGTTATTTATCTGGTAATTTTGCAAACCCGTTGTTTCTCAACTGTGCTGATGAATCGGAGATAATTGAAATAGTTCGTTCATTACGTTCAGGGATTGCGGGAGGTTATGACAATATTCCTATGTGGTCCCTAAAAGATTCTATTGATCTAATTTCTCAACCATTGACTCATATTGTCAATTTATCAATTCAATCTGGTATTGTTCCTGACCAGATGAAATTTGCACGGGTTTTACCAATATTCAAATCTGGTGAGGATAACTTGTTTTCAAACTATAGGCCTATTTCAATTTTACCGGTATTCTCTAAAGTGCTTGAAAAGGTTGTTTACAATCGTCTGTTGCATTACCTAAATGAGCAGAATATATTGTTCCATAATCAATATGGTTTTAGGAAAAATCATTCTACCTCGCATGCTTTAATCAATTTGGTAAACAAAATTGCAACCGCATTTGATGAAAAAAAGTTTACTATTGGAATATTTCTAGACCTTTCCAAGGCTTTTGATACTGTCGACCACAAAATTCTTTTTCTAAAGTTGGAGCATTATGGCATACAAGGATTGGCCCTTGATTGGATGAAAAGTTATTTTACCAATAGACAACAATATGTTAAATATAATGGTATTAATTCCGTATGGAATAATATTAAATGTGGTGTCCCTCAAGAGTCAATTCTTGGACCTCTATTATTTCTTATTTATATCAATGACATAAGTCATGCCTCCAAAATTTTTGAATTCATCTTGTTCGCTGATGACACCAATGTATTCCATTCCCATAGTGAATTACCTGCCTTAATTAATGTAATCAATAGCGAAATGAAGAATCTATCAGAGTGGTTCTTTTCCAACAGATTGTCTATTAACCTTAAAAAGTCTAACTTTATAATTTTTACTCCTCGGCAAAGGAAACAGATGCTTGATTTGTCCGTTAAAATAAACAATCACTATCTAGTAAGAGTTAAAGAGATTTACTTTTCTCGGTGTAATTTTGGATGAACATCTGTCCTGGAAGTCTCATATTTCTCATATTGCAAGTAAAGTATCAAAATCCATTGGGATCATATACAAATCAAGCTTCTGTCTTACCAAGTCTGCCTTGCGTACTTTATATTTTAAGCTTGTTTACCCTTATTTTAATTATTGTAATACGATTTGGGGCTCGACATATCCTACTAATCTCAATCGTCTTACGTTACTTCAGAAAAAAGTAATCAGAATTTTAAATAATATATCTTTTGATGCACATACATCACCCCTTTTCAAATCGTTAAATTTACTCAAATTTAAAGATATATATATCTATTGAATTTAGGTAAGTTTATGTTTTCTTATAAAAATAATCTCCTTCCACAAAGTTTTAACAATTCTTTTCCATTAACTAATCAAATTCACACCCGTAACTTACGTAGTGCTGGTCAATTTTATATTCCTTACTGTAGAACCAAGACTAAACAGTTCACCAAGGACCCAATTTTTTAATTCACTGAATCCATACATTCATAACTCCCCTTCACTCTCATCGTTTCAGTCCAGGTTAAAATATTACTTTTTGGCTTCTTACTAATAGTATCTAATATTATAATTCTCTTAAATTTACGAACTGTGGTTCCTTAATATATCTCATATCTTAATTTTATGTACTTCATAATTACCGCCATTATGTTATACTATCGTACTTGTGTATTCTCTTGTATTTTACATCTTGTGTGCTGTTCATATATTTTGTTTACAAAATAGTTCATTCTGTGATGAGGTAACCCAAAATCTAATAAGCCATTTGGCTTTTACTTGGGTTTCCTCGCCACAATATTTTCTTTTATATATATATTTTTTTTCATTTACATTTCTTTTTTCTTCTGTAATGATATTGTGGCAAAATTATTAAATCAAATCAAAAATAAATCATAAAAAAGATATGAGGGATTCCTAGTTTTCACCGCAACTTAAACACTTTTTCCACTGTTTTGGAAAACTCTGATCTTTTCCAAAGATGTGAACTTTCTTGGACTCCTTTTTCATTTTTCATCTCTTTGTTGTCTCTCCGCATTCTTTATGCTCAGCTAAGGATACCTGTCTGCGACAATCTTATCATTTGGAATTATACTTTCGTGCTAGTGTGATGAGGTTTTTAAAAGAGCATCATCGCTAAATGTTTTCCATTTTCCTTTCATCAACGGAATCACTCAGGGGCGGATCTAGGGGTCGTCAAACCGGTCACGCGACTAACGTAAAATTTGCAAAAAATAAAATGATAAAAATTTGACTTTCGAAAAGTAGTCCAGTTATCTTTATCATGCAGTGCAGCTATGGCAACTGAAGATTATGTTTCGTAAGGCAGAGCAGTCCAGTTACTGCAGAATCTATTATCATACAGCGGTAGTATTTACTAATCTAATCTTAGTAAAGTTGTCTTGAGTTTAATCTAATCAAATCTCAGTGGTCCAGTGTTTAACTGTGCTTACACAGTACAGTGACTGAGTGACGAGCAAGGTTAAGTCATTGAACAGCTGGCATACGCAAAGTCGACCGGTCAAAAAGTCAAAATCCAGCGTTCTGATTGACCTAGACCATTATTACCATGGCAACTAGTGATTTTTCACAATTTTGACTGATCTGTGGGGAGTTCTGACCGAATTACAAAAGTCAGGGGCGACGCAATCTCATTAATATTTGACGCATGCTAAAGTCTTTCTTTGGCAAGCTTATTCGAACTGTCAAGTTGTATTCGAGGATATCAGAAAGTTGGAATTTAGAAATGTCCGCTATTAAGCCTACTCTGTACTCAAAGGTTCGATCCCCTTTTTCGATAAACGATTTACCAGTCCTACAAGAGTGTTGGGATGATATTATAGCGCAAATCGACGCTAAACCCGAGATTTCGGTCGAGCAGTTGCTTGACGCGATGAATACCACGAACAGCAGTTTAAGTAGAAATATAGGCGCCGAGATCTATATTCCGAAATGTGTGCGAGATAAAAACAAGGACAAGTCGTGCACTGCAATAAGGTAAATTTTATTTCATACATCTATTTTATTTCGTTGATTTAGGATAATAGGATTTTAGATAAGGTTGTTTGTTAACAATAGTGATTAATGAATATTTAATATAAGCGAGCAAGACTCGCGCCTTGCTGTATGCTGTCTGCTACGAATTTATATTTACACGTTCAATAAATTTGCATATATTTGCGGCTGAAATTCTAATTTCTAAACTCAATTCGTAACATTTAGAAAGCAAAAAAATGAATAGTTATAACTGGCTAGGTTTGGATTTTACTACATTTTTAACTTGAATTTACTCAATGTTTGACAATTGGTGTAAAGTAATATGACACTATGACTCTAGCATTAGTCACCTAGACTCTTAAATATAACTGTATAAAAACATCTAAAAGTGCCTTGTCACTTGTCATTGCCGTAAATAACTGTCGCCGCTATATTAATTTGCTTAGGTTGAAATAGCGAATGAAATTTAGAGTTTAATTCTGTATCCTGTCTGTTTCCTTAGATCAGAAGCCTCAGGAGATTGCCTTTATAGCTCTGTTTCTCTTGTATTGGTAGGTGACAATACTTTAGTGCACACATTAAGAATTTTGACATCACTTGAGCTTTTCATGAATGCTCAATTTTATTCTGATCATCCCTGCTTTTTGTTTGCTGTTAAACAACACCCTGAATGCTTCGGCAAAAGTATGCCATGAAGGTGACACTAAGCCTGGAAAATCATTTCAGCCAAATCACTTTGTACCCCTTCTTTTCCATGTAAAGTTGCAAAAGCGAAAATTTGTTCCTAGTTTAAAGGCATCCGGATCTTTAGCAGACAAAAAACAAAAACTGTCTTCTGATTCTTCTCTTTCCTCTAAAAAGGCTCTAAAAATTCCTGCTGGAAACATTTCTGATTTTTTCAAGGTAGCAGAAAAACCCATTGCAAACCCAACTTTTCAGAGGAAACCTAATGAGTCATTTTCTTCTGCCACATCACTAGCTGCTCACAAGTTAAAGCAGACTAGTTCTCCTACCACCTCTGCAACCACCTCTCAAAAGAAACCTAATGAGTCTCTTTCATCCGCCCCTTCCTTAGCTCCCCCATCAGGGGATTCTCTTATTTCTACCAAACCAGATATTCTTTTGTCTGGTAATGTGAAGTCAAATTTTGTTCATGAATTTGATGTTGCATCATACAGGGAAAGAGTCAAGGGTATGCATTCATCTGAGATTTGTAATCTAGTTAGAAATGTCTTCAGACCTGACAAAAATTTTCCCTTTCCTAAGACTAATGGTAGAAGTTTTAGATATAACTGGCTTGAATTATATCCAAGGCTTTGCTATTCACCGTCTCTGGATGGTGCATTTTGTTTGTCATGTGTGCTATTTCGCGAAACATTTTCTGGTAAAGCTTCTAAGATAAGTAGATTGTTTTCAGAACCACTTCGCCATTGGAATGATGCTGCATTTACTTTTAAGAAACATGCTGGCCATGGCAAAGGAGGTGAAATGGGGTTACATGCTTCAACATCTCCAATGCTCACTGCAATACTTGCACAAATCTCAGGGGCTGCAGAACCAATTGAGATAGTTTTAGATAAAAATCTGAAAAAAGAGATAGAGGAGAACAGGAGTAAACTGGCATCAATTGCTGATGCTGTCCTCTTGTGTGGTCGTTTAGGTTTGCCACTACGTGGACATTGGGATGATTCCAAATATCATCCAGAGGTAGGCCAGTATTCAGCTGGGGGGGTTGGCAATTTCAATGAAACTGTTAACTTGAAAGTGCGATCTGGAGATAAGGTTTTAGAGAACCACTTGAAAACATGGCAAAAATAAGAGCTACATTTCAAAGACAAGCCAAGATAAAATTATCAAGTGCTTTGGTCAAGTTATCTCTGAACAAATTGTAAGTGATATTAAGGAAAGTAAGTTTTTTACTATCATTGCTGATGAGGCTGCAGATTCCTCACACAAGGAGCAAATGGCCCTTGTTTTGCGTTTTGTTGACAAGAATATGGATATTAGGGAGGAGTTTATTGCCTTCCTTCAGTGTAAGTGGGGATTAAGTGGAGAGAATCTTGCCAAACTTATATTGGATGCCCTAAATGATCTTGATTTGCCTATTATGGATTGCCGGGGGCAAGGTTATGATGGTGCTGGTTCTGTTGCTGGTTGTGTTAAAGGTTTGGCTGCCCAAATCTTAAAACTAAACCCCAAAGCCCTTTATACTCACTGTTATAGCCATAGGTTAAATTTGTCAGTCTGTGATAGTTTGTCGATTGTTGAGATAAAGAAAATGCTGAAACATGTCAAAGAAGTGACAAATTTCATTAATGTGTCCCAAACTCGCAACATGCCTTTCGAGGAAACTGTTCGTAGTAGTTCTGAAACCGACTCAAAGAAAACTAGACTGCCAGATGTTTGTCGAACAAGATGGGTTGAACGAGTTAAGGGTCTGAGCACTTTTGAAGAACTGTTTGTTCCTGTCTATAACTTGCTTGATGACATGACAAATGGGAAGTACAATCCTTCTTTACGTACTGATGCATCCCATTTGCTGTCACTTATTTCTAACTTTGAATTTGTTGCCATTTTGGTAATTACTAGAAATATTATTAATTTAACTCTTCCTGTAACGCAACTTTTACAAGGCAAGAGTATTGATGTGATGGATGGCATAGAGTTAATCTCTTCTTTGAGGACCAGCGTTGTTAATGTAAGAAATTCTAATGATTCATATCATGACCAATGGTATGAAATTGCTCTGGCTTTATCTGGAAAAGTTGGTGTTGAAGAAGCTAAACCAAGGACGGTTGGAAGGCAGACAACCAGAGCGAACCATCCATATAAGACTATCTCTGAGTACTACAAAAGAATAATCACTATTCCTTTAATTGATCATCTTTGCTCTTCTTTGGATGAAAGATTTGACATTGATAGTGTCAATGTTTATCTGGGGCTAAGCATTATTCCAACTAAGATGTTTTCCCTGATCCATGAAGGAATTGATTGGAAGGCAAAGTTTAAGACGGTTTCTGATTTTTATGTTGATGATTTGCCTAATCCCTTAGGTCTTGATGCTGAGTTGTTATTGTGGCAAACTTTCTGGGAACAACGTGTTGGCGCTCACCCTAGCAATATTGCTACAACTCTAAAAGCTGTAAATTTTGATGGTTTCGAAAATATTAAGGTAATACTTCGCATTTTAGGAACCCTTCCAATTACGTCTTGCGAGTGTGAGCGTTCTATTTCAGCTCTGAGGCTGCTTAAAGACTATAAGAGAAGTACTATGGTCGAGGAACGCCTTAACGGTCTCGCTTTGATGAAAATGCACCAGGATATCATCCCTAATTTAGAGGATGTCATTGAAAAATTTTCTGTTCACAACACTAGGTTGAAGTTTAACTGAGGTTATCTTCTCGTCTGTCTGAAATCGGCGATGTCATTAACTTTATTCTTGCACTCCGTTAAATGCTAGATTATTTTTCTTGTCAACAGAGGAGTCTCGCAGCCTAATAATTCTACATATAAACCAAATGCCAATTCTCTCAATACCCTGTATGAATGCAACCAACTTTATTCTTTTACTCTGTCAAATTGTCAAATCTTGATACACAGTATTGGCATACAGTATGGACGGTATCGGTTCTGTTTTTTACTCTTTCAAATACGGTGCATTTATTTGCGTTCTTCCTGCTTAATTAGTTAGACACTTTAGATATATATCTAGGAATAGGCAGCTAGTTTAGTATTAGTTGGGGGTAAGGGCAGGGGGTAAAGGGTTAGAATTGACTTGGGATGGTGTGACCAATCACATCCATGAAATGTCCCATATTGTCACCCATTTCTAACCAAACTCCTTTTGCTTATTCAAAAGGTGTGAAGGCGGGTATCTGGCGCCATAACCAGATCACTTTACAGCCTTTTCAAGGGCTGTCCATGTCGGATTGCACTTTGCTTTGCTATGCAAATGTATTTCCTAGGCATGCTGATGAGCCCTGATATGGGGCGAAACAGACTTGAAATTAATGAACATTGATTATAGGGATGTGTATGATTATATTCCATTATGATTATAATCCATTTTTATGAATTATAATAGAAGACAATCAAGACATAATAATTACATTTCTTCAAGTACTTTCAAGAGCGAGTTGCGAATGGCTGTTGTAGCGAAAATCAATATACTTTTGTCCTATCGATTGCCCACTAAGGTTTTGTTATTCTCAAATTGCCGCAAATTGCTTTTTAGAGGTGGGAAAAACGTTTTCGAAAACTGAATCCTGAACCCCTCAGAGAGACCCCCTAGAGCTAGCTTACAATCCGAAAATTTTGACTAACATACGAAAAATCCTGGATCCGCCCCTGGAATCACTGCCATAACATCTGTATACCTGGACAATCAAGCACCTTGAATATATAACCCTTTTACCTTTTCAAATTTATCAACCCTTTGAAGTTCATTAAATACAAATAAAGTAAAACAATTTACTTTTCATTTCAAAAATTTGTAATTGCTTTTCATATTTTGCACTACCAAACAGTTCAAGATTAATGCATTCAAGAGAATAATAAGAACATAAATCCTTTTCAATATGTCCACCCTTAAAAGCAAAAACAAATTCATCATCTGAAAAATTCCGTTTAAAAATATTATGAAATTCATGCTGAGTAATATCAGAATAAGAATACTTTTTTCTCAAAAATGGTAAACCATGTATTCTGTTTGAAACATATGAAACTGATGAGAAATCATCATCACTCAAAACTAGGGATCCAAGGATAGTGCAAAGTTTTCATGCCCTGTAATACCTAAACAACCAGACGTTTTCCCAACATAAACATTTTGACTTATGCCAGTAAAAATATAATGAACTAGGTTAAACATTAATCAAAAGGAAATTACTCAAAGTACTCAAGTTACGTTAGTCGCGGATACTGTCACTATTAAACTATAATTTTAGTTGCTCATGTAAACCGGTTTAGTCTCTTTTCTTCGTCAAACAACTGTGACTACATTTACTGCATTTATATGACTGCCTTCCTTATTTAACCAATGCACACAACCTTGATTAAACTGTAAACAACACATCATGCTTTTAAGTTTTAAAAATAAAACTGCCTATACATATAGTCTTATAAAGTAAAAAGCAAATTCCGAACAAACAAGACATCTTGAGAATTAAAATATAATTCAAACAAGACACAGATTAAGACTGTAAATTTTTGACTTTATTACAAAGTCATCTTCAGACAGAATGAAATACAATACTTTACAACGCATATATATACAACACAGAGAGAGAGCGCACATGTCAATCCAGCATGTAGGCGGAAGGCCAGTAAACCAAGCAGAGCGAAACATGATAAGGTTGTGAATAAAACTAAATATGTATGCTATATTTACAACAATATGTTAGATAGATTAATTTAAGGAAAGAATTTCTACTCAAATCATGTCTCAATAAAATACAAAGATTTCTTTCCAAACCGGTGAAATTCGTCACTATTTATGACACTAAAAGGTTGTCTTATTTTGTTTCTAATAAAGACAAACTTCCTTCTTTATCTCGTAGCAATTTAGTATACGAAGTCGCTTGCCCTGGCTGCGGGAAAACCTATATTGGCATGACGCAAAGGTGCCTTTCTGTACGTTTGAAAGAGCATTCCACTAGGCTCTCTTCTAGTGCAGTAGGCCAACATTTCTCTGAGTGTGAGCATGCTCAATTCTTAGCCACACTACAAAACCAGTTCTGACTACTCAACGATATACCATTATCTTTGAATAACCCTTCTCCTATTGAGAACTTAGTTTTCAATAACTATAGAATTCTACACATAACTAAATCGAATAACTATCATATTCTCGCCTTTCTTGAAGCACTCTTAATCAAACACAACAAACCTTTCCTTAACACTGGACTTAAAGCCAGCAAAGAACTACAACTGTTCACTTAATCTCTCTATTTTAATTGTCGGGTCTTTCTTTCCTTAAATTAATCTATCTAACATATTGTTGTAAATATAGCATACATATTTAGTTTTATTCACAACCTTATCATGTTTCGCTCTGCTTGGTTTACCGGCCTTCCGCCTACATGCTGGATTGACACGTGCGCTCTCTCTCTGTGTTGTATATATATGCGTTGTAAAGTATTGTATTTCATTCTGTCTGAAGATGACTTTGTAATAAAGTTGAAAATTTACAGTCTTAATCTGTGTCTTGTTTGAATTATATTTTGATTCTCAAGATGTCTTGTTTGTTCGGAATTTGCTTTTTACTTTATTTTCTTAAATTGTCGGCTGGTCATGGTTTTTGATATAGTCTTATGGGTAGCTAGAAACCAACCTTTATATGATATTTGTCAATTCCTTCATCAATTAATACACTGTCTTATCCCTTTTTTTTATTGACATTCATGAAAAATCATTTAATCACCTGCAATAATTTTATATTCATTTTGCAAAAAAGCATCAAACCAGCGCTTCACTTGAATTGCAATGCAAGATTTACTAACTTCTACTTATTTCATCACGTCAGTGATATCCGTCAACGCATTGGTTTGGCTCAGGTTTTTTCCCACGTTTAAATCGCATTAATCTCGTGCGGCGAACATAATGAGCTAATATTGGTATAATGAACAAGTATTATTAAACCTGCAAGTTCTACTAAACGCATTTTAATTTTACTACCCTATTGTTACCCGTCAACGCTTTGACTTTTCCCCCCCACCTTTGACTTGTATTGACGTCTTATGCAATTAAGTATCATGAGCATATCATGCATAATACACGTGTGAACAGGCACACTCTTGTGTTTTTTGACACTGATCGCAAATTTTTCCTCTTTACATACACTGGAATGACATGGGCACACGTCAACACACTTCTTCACATCCTCTGTTGTCTCAACCTCTTTATTTTATTGACTTTCATGACAAATAGCTCAAGCAACCCCAAAAATTTCATATTCGTTTTTGCAAGAAAGCATCAAACAACCACTTAACTTGTAATTCGGCTTTTACTAATCATATTTTAATTTTACTACACCATCGTCAACCGCAACAGTGATCGGATTTTTTTCCCCTGCACATTTGACCCTGCCATGACGTCATTCGGCAAACATGACACCACCATCATCACACGCATAAGTATTAGCGCGAAGTTCAAATTCACACAGTCGGCTCAACCAAGGCTTCGGGTAACATCTTCTTTGCTCCGTCACCACATGCTGACATGTGACCTGTTTGCCATTAACTTGATTTAATTAAGTTAATATATTTAATACAGGTGAACCAGCACATTTCTATTTTTTTTGCACTGATCTCATTTTTTGAACAATCTGGATGGTCGATGTTATCCCCATAACAGAATTCCCATAGGTCTGTTTTACCTTCGTCTTTTTGTGCCTTTGCAAATACAAGAAGTTCTTGTTTTGTTCTAATTTGCTGGTACAACAATATCAAAAATATAACTTGGTTGCAATCGTTTAGCTCTTTTGACCGTTGCCTTTTTACGCTTGGGCGTGGGGCTGCTATCATCGCTGGATTGTTCATTGTTCTGCGTATTGGAACGAGCCATTTGAGAGTTGGTGATGTGAGTCAGACTGGCAGTTGTTGTATTTGGTGGTTGCTGGTTTGTAAAATCAGGATGGTTTGACGAGTGAAGTGGCAAAGTGTCTTCTTTGACAACATAACTGTACGCGCTGTAATAGTTGATATGCGTAGAGCTGAAATGTACGTTGAAATGCTTGTTTTCCCTTAAGTACTTCGCGATGTGTAGTTATCGGTGAGGACAATCGCATTTTACTGCCATATGGTAGTGATAACCTCCTTGTCAGGGGCGTTCCTTTGAAACACACCATTGAAGAACTTGTGCATTAACTGTGCTATATGCTTCGATCAAGGCATCCACAAAACCTTCTCTGGTGGGTACAAGCGCCATGGATGCTTGGCTCAACGTTATTAAATATACTTGGCGATTTGATCGCCGCGAAATATTACTTTCCCTTTCGGAGCTGTCCATATTAAATGTTAGTATAGTGAAAGTACGTTCCAGGAATATGTTTACATTTTGAAATCGACAACTTGCGAATGCTAACATCCGATCGATCCTTCAAAATTATTGTTGACTTTTGAGTTAATATTCATTTTAGAACCTAATACAGGGTGAGTAAAAAAAACCTGACACCTTTAAAATTCAAATTAGCTGCGAACTTATGGCTGGAGTTTGACAATTTCCATTGTGTGCAATCAACAAGACGTGGTTAATTAATGCAAAAGTGTTTAAACCAATTCAACATTCTTTTTTATTACAGATCTTAAAATGCATTTTAACTCCCATAGGGAGCAAACTTTATGTTCAAGGTTAATTAATGGGGTTCATTTATTTGATATGCTTTGTATACCC